TCCTTCCACTTTTGCCATTCTTCACTTATCGCTTCATCTAATGGCTCATCCCATTGGATGCCTTTTAACCACAATTCTTGGAAAAGGATCTTTGCTCTTATTGTGTAAGGACTGAGAAATCCTAATGGATCAAACAGTTATGATCGATGCTATGCTGATGATACTTCGCTTTGTTATTTGGTCTTTCACCTGAATGAGATTTTCTCCTTGATTAAACAGGAAAATATCTTTGCTTGTATGCCAAGATATGCCAAGGGCTTTTAGGKGTTCTGCTTCATTCTTCAGCTCTACCAGTGTAGTTGGACCTCTAAGCTCTGGTGAAATGCGATCCTTCAGTTCTTCGGAATTAGTATACCACTTTACTAATTCAAAGCCACCARCTTTCATCATATCATACAGGTCTTTGTGCAAGAAATATGCTTTATCTTCATCTTCTTCTCCACTTAAGTAATCATCCACGTACATATTCTTTACCACTTCTTTWGCAGCTGTTGGAAACTTATCTTCGTTAGCTTTGGCATGGTGCTGTACAGTTGCTATGGCTTCAAATGGACTGCTTACTACACCAAACGTTACTCTCGTCATGCAGTAGGTCTTTGGACTTTCATCTTGGCTTTCTCTCCACAGGAAACGATGAACATTCTGGTCCTCTAATGCTAGTTTTACTTGCAGAAACATCTTTCTTATGTCTGCCAWCATCGCTATTCTGTGCAACCGGAAACGAAGCAGGATTGACACCAGATTGGGCTGTAAAGCTGGTCCTGGTAGAAGACAGTCATTAAGTGAGATTCCTTGACGATTTTTAGCAGATGCATCAAATACCACTCGACATTTTGTAGTCGTCTTATCTTCACGAAAGACAGGGTGATGAGGTAGATAGTATATCTTGCTTGCTTGTTGATCCTCCTCTGTTATTTCTCTGGCATGACCATYTTTGGTGTACTGATTCATAGCTTCTTTGTACATAGTTTCCTTTCTCTCATTTTGGCGTAGCATTTCTTCAACTCTTGTTAACCGTTTTGAAGCTTGTTGGTAGTTCGGCAACAACTTTGGAGCATTCGATCTCCACGGTAGACCAACTTCATACCTGTTTTCTTTAAAGTTAATGGTTGATTGGAATTGCTGTAGTGCTTCATCTTCTTCACTAGATAGTTTCTTCTTCTGGTCGATAATTCCAATAGACTCCAATTCCCAAAACTTCTTTAGGCTGAAGGAATCTTCATCATTCTCTGCATCTTCTCTAATACAAACAACAGTATTTAGGTTGGTAGCTAACTTGTCATTCTGTATGTCTTGCATCRTAGACTTTCYGGAACATCCTAGCAGCAGCCATCCAAATATGGAATTCATGGCAAATGGTGTATGTAGAGGACCCTTTCGGATTCCATTCAACATGACTTGATCCCATTGATCAGCACCTATCAGCAAATCAATTGCTACCGTTCCTCTTGGATACTCGTCAGCAAAATCAAGATCTCCAAGATGGTTATACCTTGACATGTCTACTTGAACTGGTTCTAGCGGTGAACAAACTGTTTCTACTGACCATGCTGACAACTCGACTTTCTTATTAAAGTCATGGATAGGTGATACCTGAAAATTAACRTTCTCAACTTTCGTCTTCCTTGTTTGTCCTCCGTGCATGGATATTGTCATCGACTTTGATGGACCATTGGACGGCAAATTTAGTGCTTGTGCAACTTCTCTACGAATGTAAGAATGATCACTTCCACTATCCACTAGCACACGAACCATTAGCTCTTTACCATTGCAATGGAGTCTTGCTAACGCTGTAGGCAGTAACCTGATCTGATTGTTGACATCAGCTCCAAAGACGCCAGTAACTAGCCCTGAATGGCCTTTTACTTGATTGGATAATGAACCTTGACTTTCACTCATTGTCGTCGATGCTTTCTGTTCGTCATTTTCCTTTTGGGCACGATGTAGAAGTACATGATGCTTCTTGCTGCAACCTTCAACCAAACAACCAGGACGTTTACAAGTGGCACTTGTGTGGCTTGATCCAGTTGGGCGTAGGCAGTTAAAGCACAGTTTCTTCTCTTTGATAATCTGCAGTCTTTCTTCTACCGATTTCTTTTACACCATGTAGCAGTTTGATGAATCATGGGACTTTCCACAGAAAACACATACAATAGACTGGTTTCTTTGTTTGAAGTCTTCTTGCTTTGAGTTACCTGTCAGTGATGTAGCTGATGATGGGAAAATATACTTATCTGTAGAAATTCTTCCTGAATACCTTGTTCGTGGTGTATTTCTTTCTTCGGTCTCTCTGACTGGAAATACTGAACGGGACTTCTCTGATGCTTCCTCTGACATAACATGAGATCTTAGAAAATCAAAAAAGTATTCAACAGTTATTTTCTTATCTTCCTCYTCATTTTCAATTTTGGACAACTCATATTCCCATTTTCTTCGCACTTCTTGTGGTAGTTTCGACTGGAGTATAGGAACCAGGATGCGATGACAGTACTTMARATTAGGCTCGTAAGATTCTAATGTATGATAACGGTTTACCATGACGTCATACAAGTAGCGTAATGACTTCGCATTGACTTTCTCCTTCTTCTCTATACTTAACATTGATTCTACTAGGTGTTCAACAACAATACGTTTTCTTCCATACCTTCTTTGTAGCGCTCCAATTGCTCTTGAATAATTTTCAYTAGAAACTTCGATGTATTCTATGGCTCTCTTTGCAGTACCTGTGACGTACATTCGTAGATAATTAAATTTCTCTCTGTCTCCAAGAGTTTCGTTTTCGTGGATGCAAGTCTTGAATTGATCCCACCACGGAACCCATTCCAAAATATCTCCATTGAACTCTGGAAGAGTGAACTTGGGTAATCGTAGATGACCAACTCCGGAACATGTCTTGTGTGCCATGTGCTCCACCACTTGAGATATGTRAGAAAACTGACTTTCTTCTGTATTTCGTAAGGAAATGTAATTCTCTGCTTTTCTYGAAATTCTTATAATTTCTTGTTGAAAACTGGCCCACTTCTGAATTTCTTCGTCAACGGCAATTTCATCTTTTATTGACGCGATGATTTCTTGAACTATGTTACTGTAACTTTCTTCTAAATTATTTAGGCGACGTAACGCACTTTCCATTTCGAGGCGAGCATTCGCATTCTTTTGTAAATGTTCTATTTCTGCAAAAATCATCTCGATACTTCTTCCAAACATCTTTAACTTTCGGTTTAATTTGACGATGTCTGTAACAACAGCCTTTTCCTCGTGCACCTTCTCGCTCTCTCCAACATCTGATGAAATATGCTCGTTTTGAACATGTGAGCCAACAAAAAGCATTAGTTGTTTACTTAATTTTTCAAATTGTGACGAGATCTTTTCATCGATTTCCTTTTCTCTCTCACTTACTTTCTCGATTAACCCTTTTACTTCTTCGTGTAATTTTGATGGAGTATATTCAAAGCTAAATGATGGCGCTATTAAAGGTGTTTGCTTACCTTTTCGAAAAGAATATAGTCTTTGGACAAGTTCGGTCTTTGTTCCAATTGTTGATAGTCCATTAGCTTCCAGTTCGTTTTTAATATCTGCTGCTGTCATTGAAGAAATAATCTCTTTATTGGCCGCCATGACCTCTTCGAAACTTATCTATGCCTCGCTGAACCTTATGAATAAAACTTAATACATCTTGAAATTACTTGAAACTGTCCTTGAAACTTATAAAACAGCTTGTTATACTTGATAACACTGGCTTTAATTCTGTAACCTTGCTCTGCTACCAATTGTTCGGGCCCATATAAGACAAAACTTGCGGCTTCAGAATCTTCGAGTCAGTTATATTTATTAGTATTCACTGCTTACTTGACAGTAACTGACTAGTTACATAAGAAAGAACTTTTCCTTTTATACTTTGAATTAATTAAGTTTATTGGAACCTMTGGGGACGCTGGACAATCCGCCCCCGCTTTGTCCTTAATACCGTATTACTTTTACGGACTTGTACAGCTATTATCTATCTACTATTATTGCAGTTCATTTTTATGATTATTGGACGTCATAGTTGACATATGCTAAGTTTTTTAAATTAAAAATTTAAATCTGTTTCTTTATTACATTAAAGAACCGAYAGAGATTTTATGTTAAAAATATTTTTTAGTTGTCTTTACCTGGTCACCTATCTTGACTTGTTTGTAAATTCACTTTTTAGCGTTGATCATCAAAAGCAGGAATCGTGCGAATGTTTAAGCTTATAATCCTGAATTTTAGCTGCGTCACTGTATTGTTTCCGCCGTAGAAAATGCTTGAAATTTTTATTTAGCAGTTTCTTAGAATCGCTTAGACTTTCGCAAAGTCCGCCGCCCGCTTTTTGTTTTTTKTTTTTTTTTACTGGGCGCACAACCTCTCGCAACTTCGTCGCTCGCTCGCTGCGCTCGCAAGATTCTCGCTTCGCTCGAATTAAAAAACGCCGGGAAAACAAGAGAGGTCGACTTGGGGCAAGTCTAAGAATCGCTTTACTTTCGTTTTCCTTACAGAGCACGCCTTACCAGTCGAGTCACAGTATATGACTTATCTTTTAAATATCTATTATACGCATAACCTATAATATATACTTTATGTACGCGACAGGTCACCAGGCCCAGATGATTTGTCCGAGAGACACTGGGTACTATAGAGGCAGTACTAAGATAGTTAACACAGCACGTGAACTTTAGTTATGAAATTTAGTTATYAAGAGGAATATKGGAGATTGTTATTGAGTTTTTCTTTTGGATTYGATAGGGACACATTCGGTAAGTCTATTATAGTTTGTATCAGATCACACAGATTGATTCTAAGAATCTCTTTGATTGTATTTATAGTGAACCGCATCGATACACGACACATCGACTTATCAACACAGCACACTTTCGAGAATTTCTATCTTATGGAATAATGACGACACGAGAGATAATAAATCTTCGTTTAATCTGATTAAGAAATAGATGTATGTATATGAATGTGAGCGGTTTCACGAAGTTCCTAATGAATAGAGATCGATGAAAGGCAAGAATATTTTCTACACTTTAAGTAACAGTAATATAGTACGAAGTACAAATTCTATTCGTTTCAATTCCAAGTAACCCGATTACCGTGGTTCAGTATAACTTCCATTCATGTTTCAAAATTCGCTGAGGAAAATAAACATCACTTAAACCCACGGGGAGCAAAAGCTTGGTTTTTGTGTCAGTATATTAATGTAGATGTACGTGGTGAACATTAAATTGCTTTTTTCGAAGAAGTTTTGGAAAATTCGATATTTTTTTCTTCTGTTCTATAATAACAAGAGTTGAAGCAGAAAAAAAGGGCACTAAATTAATTTTGATTCGAATTTCATTCACACAGCCGTAAAGGTTGATAAATTGCCCAACTTTACAGCTATTTCGATCAAAACCTAGTTTATTCTAGAGGAAGTGTGGCTCCTTCAAACACGGAAACGTTAGAACGAAAGCGGCGATTTTGTTCCAACTTCTTCGTGTTTGAAGGAGCGAGCCTCACCTCGTTTAGGCTCCTTTGGTTAACCTAATTGTTAAATGATCATTAAGATTATCATCTTACCTGGGCCATTGTTTTGATTCTTTTTGGCTTCTTATACTTGCCGTTGAATTTCTACGTGGCTTACGGCACCGATAGTTCGTTCGTTTGTCCTGAGTCAGACGACAATGTGATATAAAGACGAGATCACGTGGCAATCACGTCATACTTATTTCAACCAATTGTAAGAATGAATAGTGTGAAGCGCTAAAAATAGACATTGTTTTGTTCGAAGTGTGATGCGGAGGGTGACTGGGAATTAGCATCATTTTTAAGTTCTGCTCGGCTGCTACCATGGGAATGTCAAGTCTTCTTTCCGTCTAGCAATTGTTTAGCAATTGAGACATTCAAGGCTTAATGCTTAAATTCCTTGTAATGATAAAACATGAAATAGTAGTTAACTTTTCAAAGTATTTTTATGTCGATATAAGCTGCAAATGTACCCTTCTCAAAAGTATAGTAGATGCCAGGCTAACATGAAAATACAAAAGAAATCACACTTTTTCTCGATGGTATTTGTGGCATTTCTTTTGTATGTTTATGTTAGCATCGCATTCGAGTTTTTAAAAGGGTGCACATTCTCTTTTCGTAAATCCGAGGTAACGATTAATAGAGTAGAAAAAAATACGTAGGTAGAGTAGTAAGGAATATTTTACTGCTCCTTTTCCAATAACATCGTAAAGCACCTCTCCAATATTCAGTTTTTGAACTTATATATTTTGATACAAAGCCATTATGATTTTTTTAAGATAGTCAGCATAATCCACACGAATTCATTGTACCGTCAACATCACTGGGAACCACGACGACGTGACTAATAAGAATCAAATGGAAATATTTGCAACCAGGATATAAAATAGAGCAAGGAAGACTAGTTCAAAGTAACCATAGGAGAATTAAGCAAAGTTTGATACGCCACTGAAATTCATCGTGAACAAGGTGCGGAAAGGTTTAATTATTTCTGGTCAAACAATTAATCCAGTTCAGCCATCACTTCATACACGAACGTTCTAGCTGAACTCCAGCAGCTTCGACTAAAGCATTTTTGTTCGCTCTTTTAGCAAGAGATCTTTCATTTTCAAGGATATTTGATTATGGATGACTTTAGTCAAGGACATCGAAATGTTCTGTACACGTTTGTGCGAAGGAAACGTTCTTTCTTATCTATGTCACTTTCTTGAATTAATTCATTGTTCTGTTCAGGATTAAAGTTATCATCATCGGTATCTTCTTCAAACAGTATTTCCAAACTACAGCAGCCTTCTATCCTGATTTGACTAAAACAAGATTCCCAGTCTCCGCATCACAAATTTTTTGCTCGGCGTAGGTTGCACAGGCAGCCCAAACAAGGTTCCTGTGTATGGTTTATAAGGGAATGTATGGGAGTTATGATTAAGGTCATGAAAATAAAATGTTTCACTCAACAATTTGCCTCAAAACTTGCTGCAGTCGTTGCTTTTACTTTGTTCAGTCTTCTGGCGACGTTTCAGCGCGATTTGAGGCCGTTTAGTGGGTTTTTTTTAAATCAGCTCTTCTCTACCCAAATAATGGGAAGGCTGGAGACTTCGCACCCGATTTCGACTACATCACGCTAGAAAATCCAAAAAATATTTCTCTATCTCCCCTTGAACCGCAATAAAAATGCAACATGTCAAAGGAACGATAATTTCTCTATCATAACAAGTATTCTGTATGCCACCACGCCAATATTTCCAGAAAAATCCTGGCTTAAAATCGATGGTGTTCAAACGGCCGTTGTAAAGCGTGAGCGAGTCACATTACATACTGCATTCTGATTGGTCGAACGTGATACCAATCTCGAAACAAATTCCCCTTCCCCGACAGACTTGGGTTTGTTGCGAACGACTGTTTTAAGTCGTTACACCTTTTATTTTAACATACCTTTAGTCCAATCATTATGTCGCAGATTGCACAAAATCAAGATTAAGGTAGGGATGGATCCGTATACGAACACTGATCTTCCTGTCTATAGTTTCATATTTCAGCCAGCTCAGTCTAATGCAGGGGGTGTTGGATTCTATATAAACAATAACTATTCTTACACCATAAGAAATGACCTTTGCCATACAGAATCTGAATTTGAATCTTTATGGGTTGAATTTGAGATCCCCATCTATTTCTCACTTGGCAGTAGATTAGCAAATGAAATTCCTCATGTATGCTTTATCTTTTCTTCCACCTTCTCAGTTGAATAGTTTCCTGCTATTTCCTGTTTCTATTAAGGRTATAGAAGATGAGATTGATCATTTAAATCCATCTAAAGCCAGTGGTCCTTTCAGTATCCCCATAGACTTATTAAAAATCCTTAAAAGTTGTTTATCTTTTTCTTTACAAATTATTTATAATTATTTTTTCAGTAGTGGGCAAGTACCAGATCAACTTAAACTAGCCAATGTGATACCTATACATAWGAAGGACTCTGTTACTTGTATGAACAACTACAGACCTATTTCTTTACTCTCAATATTCAACAAAATAATGGAAAAACTTGTGTATAAGAGATTGATTTCCTTTATTGACAAGCATAATATCTTGTATGAAAATCAATATGGCTTTAGGCGGAAAATCATTCTACATTACACAATACACTCTTGATAACAGATAAAATACAGCAAGCAATAGAGGACGGCCACTTCTCCTGTGGGATTTTCCTAGACTTCTCAAAAGCMTTTGRTACTGTTGATCATGGAATTTATTAAAAAAGCTAAGCAATTATGGAGTTAGAGGAGTAGTGCATGATTGGTTCACCTCCTATCTTAATAATAGAAGACGATTGGTAACATCAAATCTGAAGAGGAAATTATCACCCATGGAGTCCCTCGGTTCAGTGCTAGGTCCACTTTTGTTTCTTTTATATATTAATGACTTTAGCAATTGCTGTAGTTTATATGACTTCCATATTTTTGCAGATGATACTAATTTATTTTACTCAGATTTCAGTATGACTAAACTTGAAAGTGTGATTAATGCTACTCTGAAACTTGTCTCTTGCTGGCTTATGGCAAACAAACTATCATTGAATATCGATAAGACAAACTTTATCATATTTCGCTCTCCACAAAAACCAATAAACTACAAAGTTCGATTAATGATCAACAGAAAGATGATAAAACAAGAGAAATATATCAAATATCTAGGTCTACACATTGACTCCAACTTAAGCAAAAAAAATTAAACGCAGTATCGGAATCCTCTCAAAAAGATTAGATATTATGTAAGCCGGCAAGTACTCGTTCAGCTTTATTATACTTTGATTTACCCTTTTTTATCTTATAGTTGCATCACCTGGGGAAATACTTAKAAAACKTCTCTTCAGCCTCTTATTACTTTACAAAAAAAGATAGTGAGAATAATTACCTTTTCAAATTACGACTCTCATTCCAGTCCACTCTTTTTCAGTCTAGGAATACTTAAATTGGAAGACTTGATATACTCAAATAGTGCTCTTTTTATGTATGACTATAATTCAAACAGACTACCAAATACGTTTATAAACTTTTTTTAAAAACATAAATGAAGTACATTAATACAACACTAGATTGGCATCTAAAAAAACATATTATCTTCCCAAAATAAGAACCAACTATGGAAAATTCAATATTCGCTTTAATGGTACTAAAATATGGAATGCCATTGGAGAATCTCTCAAATCTATGACTTGCAACCTTTTCAAAAAAAAACGTAAAGCCTCTATAATATCAAATTATTGATAGTTCTATGATGCACTTCTAGTCCAGCTGATAGGAGTACAGCCCATTTTGTCTTGTCTAATGTCTTGTCTTGTCACCGGCTTATCTTGTCTTGTCGTCTTCTGTTTTTGTCTTGTCTTGTCTTATTCATTGCTTTAGTCAACCAGCAACAAATAGATTTTCTCCGCATGGCCCAGCCACTTAGCTCGATTAGCTATTGCTATTTCTAATTGGCTGTGCTCTTATCACCTGCAATTTCAACTATTATTATTTATATCTGTAAACTATTGAGCACAATAAAGATTGATTGGCTTATTACGTAAACAATGTTTTAAAGACCCATTGCCACTTACCGTGATGCATCACAATTTGTTTACATTTTGAATCGTGTCACCACTGAAAAAAAAATTCCAACCTTTTGAATAAACTCTTAAAATAATGTAAAAGAATCATTTTTGTGCCTTAGTGCTATGTCGGAAAAGGATTTAATATGAAGTTATTATTCAATATATGAATCTTTGAATTTCATGGACCACGAAATTCATCTGTGACCGCGGTGCGTCACGGTAAGTGGCAATGGGTCTTTAACTACTTGATCTGGACTTTAATTTGCCGATACTTTGACCAATAACTCGAAGCGTTCGCTCTTTTTTATCGCTTTTTTGCTAGTTTTTGGCCTCGATTTTTTCAGAATTTTTTTGATATTTAGTCAGGACAGCGTTAGTTGTGTTTCTTGGCTGTTTTCAAGAGACTTGATCCCAAAATTATCGGTGGAAAGCTCCGATTGTAGTGCCGGATCATGCCGCGGGATGGCGGCACTTTTGCCGATTGACAACTTTCGCCGTCCCTGAAGCATGGATAAGTTTGACCTAGCTAAGTCGACTGTATTTACATATGACAAGCTTCATAATAACATCTGCTTTGTCTTTCACCTTATGTGTTCTTGGTTACTTGAATAATCTTACTCAAATGTTTTTCGTTCTCGCATTTTAGAGAATCCAAACAAAGAAAACAACTYGCCCAATTCGTCATTGCAAAGTCGACGATAACCTGGTTTTCAATGCTCCTATTTCGGCTGCAACAATCGTTCATATTAGTCAAATGGGAAAAGGAGTGAGTTTCATTTCTTCAAAGTGCCATTAAAAAGCCCTGAGAAAAACATATGGTGCAATCGGATGGGGAAGATGGAGGGGAAAGACGTGTTTCGAGTGACGAGTAACACAAGTGCTGCCACAAACATTTTGAGGCTAATGACATTTCTCGGGTCCCTGGTGGCAGGAGATGGAGTTTAAAACCAGGGGTAAAGCCAATAAAATACGGCAAAACAATCTCTACTGCGAAAAAGCACAGATATCCAGCACCTAGGTTGGATATCCAAGTAAAAATTCCTAAACAACGTAATAATTCATATATTGAAACTGTCGTATATTCAATTTAAAGTTGATTGGAATTTTCATATCTTCGCTTTCGACGTTGTAAATTTCAACTGAATAATGAAATCAAAATTCGAAAATTCAAATCATTAATTGACTTTAGGGGTCAACGCGTGAGCTTGTTTGACTGTAATGACTTCAATTTGTGTTATGCCATTTATCGACCTTTTTATTCTTTTCTACAATAATTAAAGGGGGACCAGCACGAAAACCATCCAAATTTCAAGCATCGCTCCCAAAATTTTTTGCATTTTGTAATCAAAATGTCCGCAAGTTTTATGCTCAGTCTAACCACAAGTTCGAAATTTAAGTTTTCAGCGGACCTTTGGGTTTAATAGAAAAAGAGTAAAACATGAAATTATTTTCAAAGAAATGTATGGAGCGATGTTTGATTTGGTGTTGAGTGTATGACGTCACAGACACATATAAAAATTCGTAAAAATATAATACTTCCCATTGGAATATAAAGAAAATACTTTAACCAGTGATTATTAAACCCTTTAAAGATTATTCGATTGAGGTTTCAGTCAAATTAAATTTCGGAAGATTTTCATGCTAGTCCCTCTTTAAACGTAATAATTTCGTTTCGAATTCCTATTTTGACAAGTTTAAATGAAAATAGAGTTGTAGGAGCGGAGTTTTTAGTAGCGGAAGAGGGGGTTTATCTTGTGGTAAAGTATAAAAAACAAGTTATTCGTAGCATGCATGCCGACTAACTTGACGATCTTTCACTTCTGTTTTCACTGCGCTCTTGTCAAGAATTTATTCTTCGCATGCTGGTATATAATTGCCGTGCAAGTCAGGGGCGGATCCAGGATTTTTTTCTATATGGGGGAGACACCATCCAGGATTTTCGTTTTAGGAGGGGGTGCACCCTTTGCTTACAAACTCAAACGCCAATAATGCAGTAGATAACAGCTCATCTAGGGATCTAGGGGGAAGGGGAACAAAATCCGCATGCACCCCTCTCCTAGATCTGCCGTTGCAAGTKTACCCCGCAACAGGATTTTTTGACATATCACTGGAAGATTCTAATAAATTTGTATATACAACCACCATCGTGATAAGCTTGGCATTTACTGGAGAGGAAGTCTCTGAAGTTGTCAGGTCCAATCAGAGAAAATCATCAGTTTCCAAACTTTCGATCAGCGAATTGTGCACTTATAAGATTGAATGTTGTGAGAGTTAAAATGGGCCATATTTGGCTGAACATGAAATACCTGTAATTGTATTTACCTGCGCGGCAGAGTAATAAATCGGATTCATTGACTATATCAGTACATTTGCTAAGGCCTAATGTTTGAAGATGTCTGTTCACCACAAAATCTGTCTCATTCATTTTTACAAACTTCCGGCCAGCGGTTGAAAATGAGAATAACAACTTTAGATCAAGAATTCTTTCTTTCAAATATTCTCAAAATTTTACTTTGTAGCCTTCAAAAGTTCAATATTCATGTTAAATAACAGATTTCAGGTAATTCTGTCACGAAATACAGGAATTTTGAAGCTCGAAGAAACTATACATGCTGTATTGCTTCGAAAGAGAATTCGAACACTTGTGTATTCTGTTGAAATTCCTTTATAGAACCACTTAATTATTTCTTGGATTTTAGCTCTTTACGACCAAGGTTAATTCGCTAAATGCTTATTGAGTTTCCAAGAAACATTTCCTTGTGAAAATTTGGAAAGTTGAGCACCACAAAAGTCACGATGAAACGATAAAGGTAGGTTGAAAATGACGAAAATTGCAAATAACCCATTGTTTACTTTGAATAAATATAATTTTACCGTGTTTGCAGACAATTTGAATCATATTTAGATATTACGCTTCAACCCTAATGCTTGTTTAGCTTATTGGCATCTTTTTGGTGCTAATTTTCGAAGCTTAGATATGGTAGAATTTAGGAC